TATTTTACTGCTAGTCATAAGGTTTTCAGTGACTAAACATTCAGCAGTAGTGTGCCTCTCTTTCTTCCTTGTTTGGCTTAGCCTGGAAGCTCCGCTGAAACCTGTCCACCATGTATGTGCTCTGTTGTTATTTAATATACCAATGGCATAGCTTCCAGTGTTACAGCAGCATGCAAGCCACCGCAGTAAGACAAACTGACCGACTAATGGTGGTCATTTTATATCTTATACAAAAACCTTACTGTGGTATTTATCAGTGAAATTGATGTTTTAGTTACTGTTTTTGGCATGCCATCTTTGTGATGCTTTGTTATTAATATTGTTTGTTTTACATAAAAATGGATACTTCTTCTGTTTTTATATTTTGGAGCATTTTACACAATATTATATTCATCCGTTAAATGTTCATTAGACTTCCCTGTGGGACTGGTACTTTTCTTTTTGTTTTATCTTGTTTAGAGTTTTGGGTATATTTTTGTTTGTTTCAGATTTCTTTCACAGAAATTGGTCTATATAGACTCTTTACATCTTCTATGGTTAATTTTGGTAACTTACATTTTCCAGAAAATTGTTCCTGTCCAGAAATTCATAAAAATGTATTTCAGTACAGTACTGCAAAATGGTCTCTTACAATTTTTTTAGGTTCTTTTGTTTTGTTTTTTGCACTATCATTTTTTTTTCTTTATTTGTATATTGTATATTGCCTCTGTTATTTACCTACAAGCTTATGTTTTCTTTCACATTGCATTTATAAGCAAAGTATTCTAAACATCTGCTTCTACTGACATTTAACTTACTGGAATTTTCTTCTCAAAATTTAATAATGTGAGACTAGGCCTAAAATGTAAGGAGCTTTGCTGGTGCACTGGTTAAGCACTAGGTTGATATCTGAAAGGTTTGTGGTTTGATTCCTCCAGTGGCTCCATGGGAGAAAATGCCTAGTGATCTGTTCCCATAAATATTACAGCCTTGGAAACCCTATGGAGCTGTTCTAGTCTGTGCTAAATGTTCTTTATGGGTCAGAATTGGTTGAATGGTACACAACAACAACCAAACCCCAAAACATTGCCACTGGTCCTATTCGACAGAGTAGAAATGCCACATAGGATTTCCAAAGCTTCAGCCTTTATGGAGGAGACCTGAAATGGTGCTATAGGATAAGCACTGTATTAATAACTGCAAGGTCAGCAGTTCAAACCCACCAACGTTCCCCTGAAACTCTGTGCAGGTTTGCTATGAGTCAGCACTGACTCTACCACACTTGATAACAGCAGCAGTCTATGGAAGCAGACGACCCCATCTTTCTCCTAAAGAATGACCACTGGGTTCCAATGGCTGAGCTTTCAGTTAACAGCTCAGCACTTAACCCTGCAGCATCAGAACAACAGCAGCAGGCCTAAAACCAAATATCAATCCCAATAGTAGTACTATTTTTGGAATTTCTTGATATAATTTTGGAAAAATTCACAAGTGACATTTATTTGCAATCTATTTTAGGAGAAATATGGGGAATTGATGAGCATCAGAAAAACCAGGACATAATTTCGAGGCAAGTTGAAGATAACAGTGACAAGAAAGCTGTGACAGAGAAACCGATCCATGAATGTCATCACAAATTTTCAAATCTATGTCTTCTGACTTCAGACCGTTTTCCTTCCGGAAACAGCCTCTGTGACTATGACTTATTTAGAAAGTGGTCTGCACATAATTTAGACTGTCAAAATAACGAGAGAAGCTATCTAACAAAGGGACATTCAGAACATTGTAATCATCCTGGAAAGTCATTTCTCAAGAACTCATCCCATCTTGTAGTAACCCCCTTTAAATGCAATCATTGTGGAAAAGGCTTCAGTCAGACATTGGATCTCATCAGACACCTGAGATTTCATACTGCAGAGAAACCACATGAATGTAATAAATGTAGGAAAACCTTCAGCAACAAGGAAAAACTCATTAAACATGATAAGATTCACAATAGGGAGCAATCGTATGAATGTAATGAGTGCAGTAAGGCTTTTATTAAAATGTCAAACCTCATTAGACATCAGAGAATTCATACTGGTGAGAAACCCTATGTATGTAAGGAATGTGGGAAATCTTTCAGCCAGAAATCAAATCTCATTGACCATGAAAAAATTCATACTGGAGAGAAACCTTATGAATGTAATGAGTGTGGAAAAGCATTCAGCCAGAAGCAAAGCCTCTTTGCACACCAGAAAGTTCACACTGGAGAGAAACCATATGCTTGTAATGAATGTGGTAAAGCCTTCCCTCGAATTGCATCCCTTGCTCTTCATATGAGAAGTCATACAGGAGAAAAACCTTATAAATGTGATAAATGTGGAAAAGCCTTCTCTCAGTTTTCTATGCTTGTTATACATGTGAGAATTCATACAGGTGAGAAACCCTATGAATGTAATGAGTGTGGAAAAGCCTTCTCCCAAAGCTCAGCCCTTACTGTACACATGAGAAGTCATACTGGGGAGAAACCCTATGAATGTAAGGAATGTAAAAAAGCTTTTAGCCACAAGAAAAACTTCATTACACATCAGAAAATTCATACTAGAGAGAAACCTTATGAATGTAATGAATGTGGGAAAGCCTTCATTCAAATGTCAAATCTGGTTAGACACCAGAGAATTCATACTGGAGAAAAACCCTACATATGTAAGGAATGTGGCAAAGCCTTTAGCCAGAAATCAAATCTCATTGCCCATGAGAAAATCCATTCTGGAGAAAAACCCTATGAATGTAATGAATGTGGCAAAGCTTTCAGCCAAAAGCAAAACTTTATTACACATCAGAAAGTTCACACTGGAGAGAAACCTTATGATTGTAATAAATGTGGTAAAGCCTTCTCTCAAATTGCATCTCTTACTCTTCATCTGAGAAGTCACACAGGGGAAAAACCTTATGAATGTGATAAATGTGGGAAAGCCTTTTCTCAGTGTTCACTGCTTAATTTACATATGAGAAGTCATACGGGTGAGAAGCCGTATATATGTACAGAATGTGGAAAAGCCTTCTCTCAAAGAACTTCTCTGATTGTGCACATGAGAGGTCACACAGGTGAGAAGCCCTATGAATGTAACAAATGTGGAAAAGCCTTCTCCCAAAGCTCTTCCCTTACTATACATATACGAGGTCATACAGGTGAGAAACCCTTTGACTGTAGTAAGTGTGGAAAAGCCTTTTCTCAAATCTCATCTCTCACTCTACATATGAGAAAACACACAGGTGAGAAGCCTTATCATTGTAATGAATGTGGCAAGGCTTTCAGCCAAAAGTCACACCTCGTTAGACACCAGAGAATTCATACTTATTAGCAAGTCTATGAATATCAGAAGTGTGGGAATGCTTTCAGAAGGAATTAACACTTCAGTGTACATTATGTAATTGATTCTAGAATATAAAACTGAATCTAGGAAGGCCTTCTGGAAAAGTCACAAATTTATAAGACAGTTCATACCATGGTGAGAAGTTGCTATTGTAATGAAAAAGCTGGTCATCAAAAACCTGCAGCAGACATACAACATATTGACAATATTTAATCCATATCTTCATTTAAATCTGACACAAAATATCTATCAGCTATCAGTGCTACTTATCAGTATAATATTTGAGCAGGTAACCAATGCATTAAGCAAGAAAAGAAGATTGGAGAAAAGAGGAATGGTGAAAATAGCCTTTATGTGAGAAATACTTAGAAAATATGTTAATATGAAATATATAAAAATAAATACAACAATGGATTACAAGACATTTATATGTAATGTTATAAAACATGCTGAAGGGCACAAGAAAACACCTGAAAATAGAGATTACGTTATGTCTGAAAAGACTTGATTTATAAAAACATAAATTTTTTTGACAGTTATTTTGACAGCCTAAATTGGAATTTTTTTAAGGCACTTCACAAACTATTTAAGAATTGTAAATAGTGGGGAGGTAAGGGACCAAAAATAGCTGAAACAAATTTGAAAAAGCAAAAAGATCAAGAAAAGGTGCTGTACTAAATATATCACCACATATTTTAAAATTGGATCATTAAACAGTGTCTCATTGGTGAATTAATAGATAAATTGATCAGTGGAAACAAGTATACACAAAACCAAGGAGATACAGGAATTTTTCTGTACAAAATCATTGGGAGAAAGAATTGTTTATTCAATAAATGGATGATTAATACAAGGTCTCTATATCATATACTCTTAAAACTCAAATAGATTAAATACCAGAATATAAAGAGCAAAATTATAATACTATGATGAAAATAAAATCCAATATAATTATTACCTTGTTATTGTTAAGTGCCGTCGAGTCGCTTCCAACCCACAGCGACCCTATATACCCAATATCAAATGTATACCGAGGAGTGCCTGGTGAGCTTGAACCGCAGGCCTTGTGATTCAAGCCAACTTTGCAATCCAGCGCATTAACTCATAGTGCCAAACCAGAATATCTATAAAAATGCATAAACAAAGAACAATTAATTCTATTTTGTGTAATGGCTGAGACAGATCCACATATATGCACAAAGAGCTACATATCACTATGTTTACAGCAATATTGGTTGTATTCACCCTAAATTGGATACAATATAAATATCTATTAATAAAGGAGTAGCTCAATAAGAGATGATTATTCATATGATAGAATACTATGCAGTATTTAGATATAAGATTCAAAATTCAGATTCATGTATGTATGGATCACAGCATATAATAATGATATAAAAAGGCAAAATGCACAATGAAACATACAAAACCACTACTGTGTATTGATAATGATTCTATATATGACGTTGGTTGCCTTTTGGGAAGTTGGCAAGATTTGGAGGGAAAGGTTATATTTATCTGTAATATTTCTTTAATAAAAGAAAGAAAGCAAATATGACAATAGTCACAACTATGATTGACAAAATTATGAGTTTGGGCTTTTTTTGTTATTTATTGAAATCCTGTATTTTCTTAATTTTCTAAAATTATGGTGCAGGAAATGTGGGCCTATCAAAATGACTTTATAATGAGTTATTAAAATACTTAACAGATGAAGATCAAAGACCATAGCCTTCAGTATGGACTGCATCTCAATGTAAAGAAAACAAAAATCCTCATCACTGGACCAATAAACAAGTCTTATCAATGTAGAAAATGTTGAAGTTGTCAAAGACTTCATTTTTCTTGAATCAACCATCAACACTCATGGAAGCAGCAGTCAAGAAATCAAACAACGTATTGCATTGGCCAAATCTGCTGCACAAGAACTTTTTAAAGTGCTGAAGAGCAAAGATGTCAGCTTGAGGACGAAGGTGCACCTGACCCAAACCATGGTATTTTCAGTAATCTCATATGCATGTGAAAGCTGGGCAGTGAATAAGGAAGACCGTAGAAGAATTGATGCTTTGAGTTTGGTGTTGGAGGAGAATATTGAAAGTACCATGGGCTGCCAAAAGAACCAACAGATCTGTGTTAGAAGAAGTACAGCCAGAGTGCTCCTTGGAGGCCAGGATGGCCAGACTTGGTCTCTCATACTTCAGACATATTGTCAGGAGGGACCAGGCACTGGAGAGGGATATCATGTTTGGTAAGGTGGAGGGTCAGAGAAAAAGAGGAAGATGGATTGGTAAAGTGGCAGCACCAATGGTCTCAAGCATGGCAACAATTGTGAAGTAGGCCCAGGACAGGGCAGTGTTTCATTCTGTTGTGCATAGGGTCGCTATGAGTCAGAACCAACTCAATGGCACCTAACAATAGCAACAACAATGAGTTATTATTCTTACTGGTTACTAACATTTATAGAAAATTATCTTTAATACATAAACAAAACCTAATTTAAAGTAATATTCTGAGTACTCTCTCCTCATAATGTTAGTTGGGATCATGAAAAACAGAATTTGTGCAAGGATATTTTTACATTTATTAACAATTTTGCCTCAAACACAAGTTCTTTACCACTGAAAGTGGTGAAGAAACAACAGGATTATTCAATTCTTGGAATAACTGTAAAAAAAAAAAACCTTCCAGAATAAAATACCTCCAGACTGAGAGGAAGAAAACATTTTTACATATTGTAAACTTTGATTAAATTTCTAATTTGTCAAGCCAAGGATAATTGTCAGGTTCAGGGCAGGAACAGTTTCAAATTATCACAATACAGCTTTCTTTGATTTCTTGTTCTTTAAATGGAGATGCAGATGCTGATAGTTTTATTTGTGCCAGATGTGAAAAACTTACCTCTCGTACCACAACTAATATTCAAGGCTTTCAAATGTTTACAGTGACTCAAACTGTCTTTTTTATGAATACCCCATTCATACATTTTGGCTTTTTTTTCCCTATTGGTACTTAAAAAAGGTTTATTTAGAAATAATTATAGACTCATTGGAAGCTACAGAAATACTATGGAAAGGTCTGTACCCTGTACTAAAATTTCCCCAATGGTGACATTTTACATAACTACAGTCCAATATCAAATTTGACATTTGCACACAAGCACAGACCTTAGATTTTGCCAATTTTGCATACACATGTATATCTGTATTTTGTTATTAAGCGCTACCATATAGTTCTATACAATATTTCATATGTAGATTTGTGTAATGACCCCCACAATCAAGATCCAGAACGTTCCCTCACCATGGCGTTCCTTTGCCCTATCTGTAGTCACAGCCATCTTCCCTTCCTTGCCTCAGTCCCCGATTCCTAATTCCTGGCAGCCACTAATCTATTCTGCATCACTATTATTTTGTCATATCAAAAAGGTTACATAAGTAGAATCATACAGTATGTAAACTTTTGAGTTTGGCCATTTTTATTCACTATAATTCCCTGGTAGCATAATGGCTACAAGTCAGGCTGCTCAGGTAGCATAGTTGTTAAGAGCAGGGCTGCTAACCTCAAGGTTGGCAGTTCAAAACGATCAGCGGGTTCTGTGGGTCGCTATGAGTCAGAACTGACTCCACAGCACATAACCACCACCACCACAATCCCCTTGGAATTCATCCTAGTTATATCATGTACCAATAGTTTGTTATGTTTATTGATGAACAGTTTCATGTGTTACAGTTTTTACTCCCGTTTCTTTAGCCATTCACCCATTGAAAGACAGTTGGGTTATTTCTAATTTGGGTCTCTCACAAATAAATCCACGTTGAGCATTCCTCTGCCACTTTGTTATTTGTTACTTCTGTTTTTGTTTCACTTTTCATGCCTTCCTGTGGTTTGCTTAAGCATTTTTTCGCTACAGATACATAGTACAGAGTTTTTATGGATGGAGAGCCCTGTGAAGCAGAGTATTAAGCATAGGGCTACTAACTGAAAGGTTGGTGGTTCAAACCCATCAGCCACCCTGTGGGAGAAAGATGAGGCACTCTGCTCTTGGAAAGGTTTACAGCTTCAGAAACCCCATGGAGCAATTGTACTTTAGCCTACAGGGTGGGTGCCTCTGAGTCAGAATCCACTCGGTGGCAGTGGGTTTGGTTTGGTCCCACTCATTGGTTTGAATCACCAAGCTTACAGTTGGCAACCTAGTGTTTAACCCACGATGCCACCAGGAGCCCTTTTGGTTTGGTATACAATTTAAAAGTATATCTCTGTATAGAATTTTTTTATAGTTTATATAATATACATAATTATAGTCTTTTGTCAACAATCAAATAGTTTGAAGCCTTATCTCCACTTAGGCCCATGAAAGGCCCATGATGCACCATACCGTTTTCTAGAGAGGTTGGGCCATTTTACAGTCCCACCAGCAATGTAGGAGGGTCCCAGTCTCCTCACGTCCTTGCCCTCTGCTTTTTTGAATTTTGCTGTTATTGCTGGTGTGAGATGATATCTCTTAGTTATTTTGATTTGCATCTCTCTAATGGCTAATGGCTCTGGTAGCGTAGTGGTTACGAATCGGGCTGCGAACCATAAGGTCAGCGGTTCGAAACTACCAGCTGCTCCGCGGGAGAAAGATGAGGCTTTCTACTCCC